GTTGAGCAGACATTAGGAGCCGTGTTGAAAAGTTATTGTGTTTTGTATGTTTTACAGGAGACAATCCTGCACATGTCTAGGGAGGTGTCTTATCAGTATTTTTCCCAAGCTTTGAAACATGCTTAGAGCAAAAATTATGAAGAGTTCAAAGGGGAGAGAGGAAGGGAACTTTCTATTAACTAGAGACTCCTTGGTGTGAATTATCCCTGAGTTCTAAAAACAGCGGGAAGAGAGGCATGCAAGAATGTAGCCTTGAGAGTAGCTTATCTTGTCTTGCAGTTTGAACAGAGGGGCCGTTTGATTCAAAAGAGCGGACTATCTTGGTGTTAAATTACCAGGTGCTTCTCATAAATTGTGGAAGGCTAAAGCAAAGGGGGACTAAAAGGTCTTTTTTGTTGTTGTTCTTACATCATTTGCCAGGATTCCCACCACCACCTTTAGTTTCCCAGCTTTCTGTTAAACCTGAATGCTTATGCACACAGATTTCCTCAGGCACCCAGGAGCAATGCTGTCTTTGAACCCTTTGTATGGAATACTCCACACTCAGATATCTGCATGGCCTGCCCCCTCACGGCATTCTGGTCCCTGTGTGTCACCTGACACAGAGGACTCCTCTGAACTCAAGCATGAAGTAGTGCTCTTTCCCCACCTTCCTTGACTGGCCTCTCATACTGATTTGTTCACAGCCTGGACCAACTTGCTAGAAGTTAAGTGCAATGAAGTCAAGGAACTGATTTTGTTCACTGCAATAGTCAACACCCGAAACAGTGCTTAGCTCTACGACACAGGCACTCTGTGCTATTGATCTCATCAGTAGACTTCCCTGACCTCCACGGGACAGCCTTGTGGTCTGCTTTGACCAGTTGAAAATCCCCGTGTTATCTGCATCAGGGTTTCTGACAGCTCTCTAGGTGATTCAAAAGTGCAGCCAAAGTTGAAAAACATTCACGTAATGATAGAATGAGTTGGTGTCACCACTTATGTCTACAGTAGAATCAAAGAGCTAGAGCCATGGAGAGGGGGTGCCTGAACTGCCCTAAACAAAGTTCTGCAGATGGGGGTGATGATCACAGTTTGGCCCAGGTCCTCTGAAGAACTCCAGAGAATGGTTTAGACCCCTCCCAGGGGGCCATTCCAATGCCCCCGGCTCAGGCTTGTCTTCCCTGAAGTTGGGCCTGCACCTCAAAGTGGGCATTACCTGGAGCCTGAGCCTCTATCCAGGGATGTCCGCGGGAGGCCTGGCGCCTCCTGGTGGCTGAACGCACGCATCGCAACCACCTCCTCTTGAGCACTGTATGAAAAGAGCCAGATGCCCTGAGGGTCTTTACTGAATTGGGCACTAAGAGACTACAGGCCACTTTGGGAGGCCTCTTTCAGAAAGCCTGGGGCCCACACTGGCTTCCTCAGGTTCTCTGCAGGACCGGAAAGCCAGGTCGGCGGGGAGCATGAAGGAAAAAGCAATCCAAGGAGGCTGTGGGGAAAGGAGAAGTATGAGGCTGCAGCTGGCCTCCCTAAAGGGATGCTTTTAGAACCTGGGTGTCTCCGGACACCAGCTGGAGTGGCAGAGCTTAGTATTAGGGCTTGCAGGGGCCCTGTGTTGGCAGAGCCTGCAGTCAGCTGGTGGTTTGTTAGAGGTAACCTCCCAAATGTGTCTGGGAACCACAAGCCTTTGCTTTCAGAACTCAGGGCCCATCAGAATCTGGACCTCACAACCAGGGTCTGCTGGTCAACCAGTATCCAGCAAGATGTGTGTGAATTCTTTTGGAGACTTTACTCCCAATCAGCCAACTCCAGTGCCTTTAGGAACTTAGAAAGCAGCACCTCCCATAATAGCCCAGGGCCTTAGCCCAGCCTCTTCTCTGAGGCCTGTGTATCAGTGTAGGGCCGGAAGTCATCAGTTCTGTCTTCCAAAGATAGGCATTTCACTGATAAATATCAGAAATGAAAAATCATGTTCATAAAATTCAGAGGTTCCCTGTGCAAATGCTAACCGCAAAGTTATTTCCTATTGTTAATAATAGTTTTCTTGAGGTATAATTGACAATCAACTGCACATATTTAAAGCATAAAATTTGAGCCCTGGCTGAGTGGCTCAGTTGGTAGGAGCATCATTCCATACACCTAGAGGTGGTGGGTTCGATTCTCAGTTGGGGCACATACCTAGGTTGCGGGTTCGATCCCTGGTCAAGGTGCATATGGAAGGCAACAGCGATGTCCCCCACCCTCTCCTTTTCTCTCTCTCTAAAAATCAGTAAACACATATCCTTAGGTGAAGATTAAAAAATATTAAAGTATGAAATTTGATAAGTTTTTACAGGGAGATGCCCATGAAACCACCACCATGGTCAGGATAGGGAGCTTACCCATGGTCCTCTGTAGTTTCCTTTGTGCCCTTGTGATCCCTCCCTCCCACTGTGCCACTGAAAGCCCCAGGCAGGCCCTAGTTGGTTTGACTCAGTGAATAGATTGTCGGCCTGCGGACTGAAGGGTCCCAGGTTCGATTCTCGTCAAGGGCACATGCCTGGGTTGAGGTCTCAATCCCCAGTGTGGGGCCTGCAGGAGGCAGCCAATCAATGAGTCTCTCTCATCATTGATGTTTCTCTCTCTTCCTCTCTGGAATCAATAAAAATATTTTAAAAAAAACAACAAAGAACTAAAAGACTGGGAAAACATTCTGTGGCATATGCCTTCATTTCTGGTTTTCTCTTGGGGCCTACAGTGGCAGTGCCCAGAAGCATACAGTTGCAATATGGTGCTCTGATGTGGGTACAGAGTTAGGAGGTTGGAGGGATGGGATACAGATGGTGGGGCAGCACCATAGCTGACTCTTCCCTCAGCTTGTAGCCCAGTTCATCTTGCAAACCTGGTTGCTCACAGGATACCATCTATTCTTAGAGAGAATCAACTAGACAATATGAAGTGCACAGCCTTTGCCACCATTCATCAAATTCAGTTCCTCTATCTTAGGGGCAGGACAGTCTACAGCTCACCCATGGTGCCTAAAGTTATATGAACATCAAAATACCAAAATGAAATGTGGTCCCACTTTGTTGGGTTAGTTCATATGCTTGATTGGATGTTGGTTAAGCATGACCTTGGGATCACTTTGGAAAGCAGGCCACAGATAGAATGCCACAGTTCCTACGCTCAGTGCTTTGTGCACAGCTCCTCCCATGACACTGGCCTCTTTCTGTTTTAGGGGGTGCAAAAGGGAACCATTAGCACAAGCCAGGAATGAGCCATAGCTCTTAACCAAACCCAGTAGCAGGCACAGGAGCCTAAATCACAACATCCCTCTCCCCAAGAATCCCCTTCCCATATGCTCTCCACATCTCCACACCTGCCTAACCTTCAAGACCTCCCCCAAAACCCACTTTCCCAGGAACAATTTTATGACTCCAGAGCCCAGTTGGCCAGACATTAGCCTGAGGGTTCTACGCACACCATCCCATTGGATCCCCATAGCAATCTATGGACAGGTATGATTATCCTCATCAAGAGGACACTAAGACTCTGCGAGGTTAAATTTGTCCTCCTGGCTTCCAAATGACAGCAATAGGAATGAAACCCGGTACATGATTCCAAAGCCTATGTTCTTAAGCACTTTCTACATGATGTCACCGCCCCAGCATCACCCCTTTTTCTGACCCACGATGGTCTGGACATGGTCCCACTTTGTTGGATTAGTTCACATACTTGTAGAATGAAGTTTTTCTTGAGTATGTAAAGCATTTCCCCACCTTCATTGAAAGTTACCTGAAGAAAGGGATGACAACTTCTACTTCTCCCTTTCTCTTGGGGGTCTATGGTATATAGCGAGGTATATGGATTCATTAAACATTGGTTCATTCAACGTGGTTGAATTCAGACAATAAGGAAAAGGAATTAAAATGTGCTCAGGACAGACACCTTACTTTCAAGGCATTATTTCATCCAATCCCATTCTAATCTGGAATGCTTTGTGATGGTCCTATCATCTTTATTTGTTTATTTTTAAATATATTTGTATTGATTTCAGAGAAGAAGGGAGAGGGAGAGAGAGATAGAAACATCAATGATGAGAGAGAATCATTGATTGGCTGCCTCCTGCACGCCCCCTACTGAGGGTCGAGCCAGCAACCCGTGCACATGCCCTTTACTGGAATCAAGCCCAGGTCCTTCAGTCCGCAGACTGACACCCTATCCACTGCGCCTAACCAGCTAGGTTGGTCTTATCATCTTTAGTAGTTTTATGGATTTACTCATCGAGATAGACCACCGACTCAGAATTTAAATTTAAGAGCCTTTATTAAGCTGGCCAGCTGACTGCAGTCCCCGCACTCTGCCGAAGCAAAGGCTGAACTGCAGCACAGACTGCAAAAGTTACAGCCTTTTATCTGCAAAACCCACAAAGTTACAAAGCCTTGTTTATGCAATTAGTTCCCAACACAGTATAGCATTATCACCTTCCTATCTATGTTTTCCAGGAACAGAGAGCACAGCATATTGAGGAGGGACCATGAGACCATATCTCAAGTCCTGACCTGATGTCAGTACCTTCCTATCTATGTGTTCCAGGAACAGACAGCACAGCTCGCCCCATTTGGCCAAAGTGCCAGATATGCAGCCCAGTACAGTAGAAATAGTTTATTTGCTTCTGAGGCTAGTTAAGATGGAGTAACTCACCCGTTTCCACACACCATGTGAGTGGTGGAACATAGATTGTCCACACATTCTATTTCCCAGTTCTACTCCATTCCTGACACACATAATTGGCTTTCTGATTTCACAGTTAACTCAGGTTCCAAAAGGCAACCTTTTATGATATCCACTATTTTTTTTGAGTGTTCCTTTTGATTAATTTCAGGTCACTAAGTAGATCTAATAGAGATGAGATTGACAGAAGCAATCTTGGCCTCACATCAATGAATACAGACCATGCCTGGAGTGGGAGGAGAAAAGGTGCTGCCCCGTGGGCAAAAAACTGGACCCAGAATGAATATAAAGACAGAGGATCTGGGGAGTGGAGGCACCATCAGGGAAAGACTCACTCCAAGTGCCTGTAGCTGAGTCAGTGTCGTCTCTCCCAAAATGAAGCTGCTGATGATGTGTCTGGGGCTGACTCTGGTCTGTGCCCATCATGAAGGAAACCATGATGTTGTGACAAGCAACTTCGATATGTCAAAGGTAGAGTTGGGGGATCATAGGGTCTTCTGACTTTGGGGGTGGTTTGGGGGATTCTGAAGCAAGATGGCCCTACTGGAGGACAAAGGGGGTGGTTTCTGACTTGGACAAAAAGTAGTCGTAAGATGTGGAAAGATGAAAACACCTGGAAACCTCCATTCTCATTGGAGGTCCGTGGAAGGAGCCTTTCATGGGGAATTGACCTGGGTTCTAATTCCATCTCCATATCACTACTATGAGTCCAGGCTCACAGGCCAGAGTTCAAGGATACAGATGTTTATGTGGTATCCCCTCTCTTCTTTTCTTACCCATTTTAATGTTGTTGTTTTTTGCAGATTTCAGGGGAATGGTATTCCATTCTCTTGGCCTCAGACGTGAAGGAAATGATAGAAGAAAATGGTAGCATGAGAGTTTTTGTGGAATCCATCCAAGTCTTGGACAACTCTTCCTTGTCTTTTAAATGTCATATGAAGTAAGTATGGCTTATTTTTACTTGGGAAAAAAAAACCCAAAAGCCTGACTGTGGTGTTGGACCACTAAACACACACACACACACACACACACACACACGTGTGCACTCACATTGTGGGCTTGTAGCCAGAATCAGAGTCATTTATCAGGCACTGATCCATGACATAATGAACTGAGGATTCAGAGATAAGAATTGGTGACAGGAAAAAATTTAATTGGGAGTAGGGGAGTTCAGAGATTGAGGGGTATCAGAATCATAAGAAATGTGGTGGCAATATAGCATAGGTTAAGTGCATAGGATTGGGAGTCAACAGCCTAGCTATCTCTTGAAATGATCTCTTACTAGTTGTGTGATCTAGAAATTTTAACTCTTTCCATCCCAATTTTCCCTGGGGTAAAAGAGGATGATAATAATTCTCTCTCATGGATCTCTTTTTTGTGAAACAATGTTTATTGAGCACTTATCTGAGAGGCTGACACATATGAGAACTCAACTGACTATCTAGGCAAGTAGCTATGTATATATATAAAATATGCAAGTAGACCGAATGGCGGAACAACCGAAAAACCGGTCACTATGACATGCACTGACCACCAGGGGATGGGCGCAGAATATGGTGGGCGTCAGCAGCAGGCAGCAGAGTGCAGAACATGGTGGGCTTCAGCTGTGGTGGGATGGCAGAACAGGTGATCGGGGGTGCCAGACTAAGGCAGGGCACCAGTCACTGTCATGGGGCCAAGTCTCTGGTGGTTACTGAAAATTCTTTGTTCTCTCACGCCACAGTCCCGCCCTACGCTCGCACCCACTGCCAGCATCGGAGCCACTGCTCACACCTGATCACTCGGTGCCATCAGAGGGTGTGAGCAGCAGCTGCCAGCCCCGATCGATCCTGAGGGTTTCTCCACCTCCCCCTGCTCCTGAGGGTTGATCAGGGCAGCAGCAGCCGCTTGCACCCACTGACGGCACCGGTCCTACTCACAGCCGCTGTTGGGGTCAGCCCCAATTGCTCTGTGCTGTCAGTGGGTGCAAGCTGGACTGGTGCCATCAGCATGTGGGAGTGAAGGCAGCAGGAGCAGGGCCTCCAGCAGAGAGGGGACCAGGGGCAGTTGCGGGAGGGGTTGGACAGGGACACAGAGGATGGGCCGACACCCACCCCTGTGCCCACTGCAGCCTCATAGACCATAGTTCCTTTCAAGGTGCACGAATTCATGCATTGGGCCCCTAGTGGTAATAATAATAGTATGAAGTGGTGGCAGAGTAATAGTGACATCAGTAGTAGACTCTTTCTTAAAGTAGCAAATAAAGTGAAATAAGGTAAATAAAAGCTGTTTCAAGTTTATACCAAAATGTTCTACAGTTAATTGGAATCAGACACTCAAGTCACAGGTGGAGTGTGAGGGAGCCAGACCCATCAATATCTCTTGGGCATCAGCTCTTTCTGTTTTACAGGGTCAATGGAGAGTGCACTGAAATTTCTTTCATTTGTGACAAAACAGAAGAAAAGGGTGTATATAGTGTTGAATGTAAGTATACATTAAAAGTGTTTGTATATTCTACTTTCAATTGCAAGAAATTTAGTAAATCACAATATCATTAGTAGCTTGATTAATTCTTGATTGACGCTTATTTAGGTAATGTAAATGGGGCCATCTAATAGCCAATATCCTCAATTTGGGAGAACCTGGTGTGTAAAAGCCAAAATATGGTACATAATATCGTCAGAAAAAGGTGGCAATGTGGTCATATGCACCACCTACAACAAAAGAAAATAGGCACACACAAAAAGGAAATTTTTCTGATAGCTTTTCATTCCCTGCCCACTTGGTTGATTTTCGGTGGCCACTAACAGCAAATTGCTCACATAGAGTGCTGTGTATATAATGCCAGTGGGTTTATAGACAGGACAGACACATAGTTGGCAGAGATGGCCGAGGGAGCTAGGTGAGCTTAATAGAAGGTAAGTTGCAGCTGTGGCTGAATATTTTACCACTAGCAATCAATGTACTACTGCTTGTCAGTGCTACACTTCGAAGTCACCAGGTGAAGCCTAAGGAGATGCAAATGGCAGACATTAGCTCTTACTCTATATCTCTTCCAGGGTATGCACTTATATTTGCTCTGTGAAAGAGAATAGGTAACGAATTTCACTTGCTTCCTATGCACTAAAGAAGTTCTGAGTTGTGTTCTCTTTTCCCCACAGATGATGGATACAATACATTTCACATAATTGAAGCTGTCTATAGTGACTATCTTATTTTATATCTCAGTAATGTTAAGGATGAGGAAGAAATCCAAGTGATGGAGCTCTATGGTAGAGTATTTTTATGTGGATATTCACCTTAGAGGGTAAAGGAGACAAAATGATCCTTCCAATCTTATCCTGGGCCATCTCTCCTCCCCTGAAGAGAGGGGCTCACCTTGGGTAATCCTTCAGGCTCAGTGACGGAAAGATGATGAAATTTCTCATCATGCCAGAAGGGTATCCTAAAAATGTCAAATTCAAGACAGGAGATAGCCCATCCCTGACTTCTGCCTAAGCACCAATTGGTGCCAGTCATCTGCCCCCAAGAGCCTCAATGACCAAGACACAGGACCCAGCAGTTATTGTCACTCTTCCCACAGCCCGAAAACCAAATGTGAGCCCAAAACTCAAGGAAAGGTTTAGAAAACTTTGCCAAAAAAATGGAATTACTAAGAAAAACATACTGGACTTGACCAAAGTCGGTAAGTTTAGTTATTTCTGGTTTTCTCTTCCTAAATTCCCATGTTACTGGATGGGGAAATGCAAGAGAAGGTAACACCTCCAACCAGTCCCTTCTGTCCTGACCTGGGAAATCATTTGATCTCTCATTGAGAAATAAATGGGTTGGTGTTTGTGCTCTGCTCTGTCTCTGCAGATCGCTGTCTCCAGGCTCGAGGGAGCCATGATGCCCAGGCCTCCAGGTTGGTGATGTCTGATGGAGAGGGGTTAGCCCAGGGACCATTGCCTTCCAAAACCTTAGGGGTTTGTGACCAAAGATTACAATAACAATAGTTGGGCAAGGAAGCTTGTGGGATGAGCTTGAAATTTGGAGTTCGTGGGTGCCATGAGCTGTAGAGCAAATGACCTATGCAATGAAAAGGAAAACAATGACGTGTACCTTGCAGAGTTACTGTGTGGATATCCTGCTGGTGAAAAGTAAAGTCCTAAAAGTAAAATCATTAAGTCTTGGAATTTGCAATAGGAAAAGAATACTAGGGTGTGAACATGAAACCCAAATACATTTCCGTCTTCCAAGGCCAAAACGTGTGGTCTCACCCTCCAATATTTGGTAATACTGTCTCTCTTTATCTCTGCACATCCTTAGCTTTTAATCTGGAAACAGAGCTCTTTGACCTTCCAATTGTTTTTCATCTGAAAAATAGGCTCTGACTTTCATCCGTTTCCTACCTTAGCTTTATTTTGCCCTGATTTGCCCTGATCCTAAAATTCTCTTTCTCAAGGAGATACTGAGAGACAATTGCTGCTGAGGCTGATACTGGCTCACCATGTTTCAGGACATGCCTCCACATCCCAGCTTCCCTACATTATCCAGATAATATATGGGAATATATTAGCAACTATGGCCTGCATAAAGTCAGCATTTAATACAAGGTAGCTATGGTTTGCCATTCTTCCTCAATTTATCAAAAAATTCCTCAAAACATTTAATGCTGAGAATGGCAGAAACAAGCCTAGGGTCCTTCATGGATTATTCCTCTCTCTTTCTCATAGACTCAACTCAGGAAAGGTTAAGCAATAGAAAAACAACAACAACCAGCCATTGATTCAATGACTTCCTCTCCTCTATTCTGGAAAGAAACATAGGTTGCAGTACAGACTGATATCTATTTCCTCACCATTTTTCTCTGTAATAAAAATTTTCTTTGTCTTCAATTTAACCCAGGAAGAGCTTAATGAGTTTCTGTGTTCTCTCTCATCTGCTTGTTTAGTGCTGAGTGAATGCTTCCTCACCTGGGCTCCAGGATCTTCATTCCATGGTCCCTGTGTCAGCCTGTGACAAGGTCTGCAACCTGATCTCCATCACTATCATCCAAGAAGGCCTTATCTCTGAATCTAAAGGATCTTCTCTAATTGTCTGGACTCTAGACAGACTCAACAATTCACCAAGAATCAAAGGTTTCCTCCAAATTTCTGACTCTGTTTGCCATACCCAGCACTCTACCATGAATAAGACTTCCTATACCTGATCAATAAATGGTTATTCTTGCAGTCATGTGATCAGTCTTGCTGTCTTTGTGTGTGAGAGAGACATGGGGCTGATGGAAAGGGAATGAGGGAATGTCCTTGACTCTGTACCCATAATGGTCCTCTAGCTTCTCAGAATCTTCCTGAATTTCAGAATTTCCCTCCCCAGCAGTTTCTGTCCCGGTGATGCTGCCTGCCTTTTGATTGGCCTATTTCTTAGTGATCTAATAAAGCAAACTGTGAGACTTGCCTCACAATTTCCCCCAATCCTAGAATTCTCTTTCTCAAGGGAGTACTGAGAGACAGATGCTGCTGAGGCTGATCCTGGCTCACCATGTTTCAGGACATACCTCCACATCCCAGTTTCCCTATCTCATGCATTCTGTGGCACAGAGCATCATCCTTTCAAGCTCTCAGAAAACATCCTTCAACCAGAGCTGTTATCTACTGTCAGCATGTTAAGTGAGATGCCAGGAAATGTGAACAATAGAGATCTTTAGCCATCTGTACTGGTACAGTCAGGAATCATCAAGGAGGCTAAATGGCTTTAACCTCTTCTGACGGGGAGCTTCTGGGCTTTGAAGAAAGGAAAGTTAAGGTTCTTCCTCCACTTATAATCCTTTCCTGACATCTGATGATAAAAACTGTCAAAGTTGCATGTGGGTGCTGGAACAGGGCAACATGGCTAGGGGGTTACCATGCAGGAAGAATGACTCAGTCATTATGAACATAAGCTTAAGGACAGAAGGCTTTCAAGGGATATGACACTCCACATATCTTACTCTGCCTTCATATCAGAAGAAAAAGTAAGGCTCGGGCTTATTTCTCCAGAATTACACACTTGGCCTGGTTTGCTGATATATGCAGAAGGCCATGAAGAAAGCCAACCAGTCATTCTGGGACCTGTCATTTTCAAATGTTATTTAAAGGACAGAAAAGCTAATGCCCAGAGGGCATGGCCTAGCAGATCCTTGGAAATGTTTAGAACATTAACAACCATAACAATCAATGCAAGGAGGACCACTTTGATGGTGGGAGATGGCTAGCTAGTGTCATATGTCAGGAAACTACAGCCAAGAGGGAGGCACACGAAGACCCTCAGCTGCTCCTGGATCAAACTTACTCTGAAACCTACCCCTCAATTCCAAACATTTTCTGCAAATGAGGCATGAAATGTTAAGAACACTCAAAAACAAGGAGTGGCCCTAGCTGGTTTGGCCCATTGAGTGAAGGGTCCCAGGTTTGATTCCAGTCAAGGGCACATACCTGGGTTGCAGGTTCGATACCCTGCCCTGGTCAGGGTGCATTTGGGAGGCAACCAATTGATATTTCTTTCTCTCTGTATCTCCCCTTCCCTTTCACTTTTCTCTAAAAACCAATGGAAAACTATCCTCAGGTGAGGACCAACAACAAAAAGCAAGGAGCGAATATGTCTATAAATCAGAAACAGAACAGAGCGGTTATTTTCAAGAGAAAAAATATACAAGTTATGGTGGAATCAGCCATCAACGGGAGCCACACTACTGCTCTATGGGGCACTTTGCTCAGGGACTGGAAGCCCAAAGTCACAGCCAAGTCCTATTGGGGATTTTCCACCAGGACATGTAAATGCTAAGTTGTTTTTTCATTAGTCCCTACTCTTACCACACTGCCCATCAACACATTCTTAGGGTCTGAAAACAAACTGAGTTGGGTCAAGAGTGGGAAACAAGCCTATTGTAAAGAGCGCCACAGAAAAATGGCCCAATGCAGGAAGGTGTGATTTGGGATTACTCAACAGATCATATAGGCCTCACTGCCTTCAAGAGTTAACTCCACCAGTGTATTGGAAATACAGTGAGGACACTCTATTCTTGGCATACAGCTGGACAGGAGAAACGGGTCCTGTACTAGTTTCCTGTTTGTGCCGGAACAAATCGCCACAAATTTAGGCTTAAAACAGCACAAGTTTATTTTACTACAGTTTTTGAGGTCAGAAGTCTGACCTCCTAGTACCAAACCCAAATGAGCCCCGTGTCTGTCAATGTATTCAGATCATCATCTATGTCCTTTCTCAGAGTTTTAAAATTCTCTCCTTGGTCGTCTTCTTGTGTATTCTTGTTTGCTAATTCCTATATACTTTTGTTACCAGAGAAATTAGGGAGTCCATTTTCCCCAACACTAGTGGGTGTGGGGTGGCTCTTGTGATATCTTCTGAAAGAGAATTTTCTAAGATTCACCCAGGAGAATGAATGGGTTTTATTGGCAGGGTGTTACATTCCTCAGTTGTAAAGTCCCATGGCCCTTAACTGAGTCCTGAAAAAGATGCAGCTGGGAGTTCAGCAAAGGCAAAGCAAGGCCAGTGTCCAGAGCTGCTGTTCCATGCTGCAGCCGAGTCTAGTCCTGCATCAGATTATTTAAAATCCATTATTCCATTGTGTGGAATCCACATTGTGTGGCGTTCACAGGGCCATGTGGGGGAATGCAGGGGAGTGTGCCCCCTGCAACAGGAGTCCCAAGAGGTCCAAGAGCCATGAATGGGAACTTCCTTTGTGCAGAAGTTTAAATATTCAGGTTTCAAGCCCTTGCAGTGGCCACACCTATTATGGCCCATTACCTGTTCCCAGGTGTGATTGACAGACAGGTAAGCACCTTTCCACCTCACTCAGACCTTACTGGGAATGTGTCTATTGTCCAGTCCCTTCCCCAGTGATGAACGGGGAACAGACTTGAAGAGTGGCATGCCCATATTATCCAGTCTTTCCTTTGCTCCTTTCCTGTTAAATAATAACCAGATTATTACAAGGGTATCACTTTCATCAGTTTGTTTGTTTTACTGTATACAGTTTTTCTATTTAGAATTAGCCAGCTGGACTCAGTTTAGATGATCCCAATTTTATTAACATCCAAAGCATAATAGTTGGGAGACAGTCAAATGTATGCCTCTTGTCTCCATCTAGCCTGATCAGGGTGTTGACCTTGGACATGTCAATGTCACAGAGCTTCTTCACAGCCTGTTTGAACTGGTGCTTGTTGGCCTTGACATGCACAATGAACACAAGTGTACTGTTGTCTTCTATCTTCTTCATCGGTGGTCAGGGGGAACTTGATGATGGTATAGTGTTCAGGCTTGTTTCTCCTGGGGGTGCTTTTCCAAGGATATTTAGGCTGCCTAGTGCCACAGTGTCTTTGGCCATCGAAGGCAGGTAACATACAGATCTCTTTTATGGCTGTGGACGCTTTCAGCACTGCTTTCTTTGCCTTCAAAGCCTTTGTTTTGGCTTTGACTTTGGGAGGGGCAGGGGCTTCATTCTTCACTTTGGGCTCCATCTTTGTGAAAAAGGTTGTTTTTCTAATCATTAGTTATGATCATGAGTTTTTGCTGGTATAGAGAAATATACCAATATATACCAAATATACCAATAACTTACTATTGATTCCTGCAAGCTAATGTCTCTAGCGACTTTGATGAAAGTTTTTATAGTTATAATGAAATTAGTTCCAATATTTTGTGGATTCTGTTGGTTTTATAGGTATTTGGTCATATTGTTGCAAATGTCGATGTATCTCTTCCAATACTTATGCTTCTTTCTCTCTCTCTTTTTTTTTTTAAAATATATTTTATTGATTTTTTTACAGAGAGGAAGGGAGAGGGATAGAGAGTTAGAAACATCGATGAGAGAGAAGCATCGATCAGCTGCCTCCTGCACATCCCCCACTGGGGGTATGCCCACAACCAAGGTACATGCCCTTGACCGGAATCGAACCTGGGACCCTTCAGTCCCCAGGCCGATGCTCTATCCAGTGAGCCAAACCAGCCAGGCGCTTCTTTCTCTCTTTATTTTTCTCCTCTCCTTGTAACTTTAACCAGAACCCCCTAGGGCACTTAAATATTGAAACCATGTTTTCTATACCAGAAGTTGGTTTGGAACTATGGCCCATAGGCCAAATCCTGTCCACTGCCTATTTTTGTATTGCCCGTGAGCCAAGACATGTGTAATCAACGCAATATTAAAAACACTATTTTCAACCCAATGATGCAAATTTCCAATAATTTTATTTCAAAAAAGAATCCATTCCTCTCACTGATAGATTTTTATTTTCAAAACAAATTATACTCAATATTCAATTTTGAATTTCATCAAAAAATGTGGAAATGTGTTTTCTCTATTATTATATTAGTACCTACACAATATCTTTAATTTTGCCTCTTGGCCTGCAAGACCTAAAATGTGTCCTAGCCTGCCCTTTAGAGAAAAAGTTTGCTGGCTCTTCTCCGTACCATGGCCTCTCCCCTGACTGCTATTTGCTATAGTTATTTGTTATGCACTGACCCTCAAATGCACAATTTTGTCAAAACAAACCCCTCAGAGTGCCTTCATTAAAATGGGCATTAAATTATCTAATCGTGGGATCCAGGAGATATTTTTAAGTTGTCCTCTTACTGTTCCCCTTGAATGACTTAAAGCCGAATGGAGGAAATGCAGATAAATGTCAAATAAACTTCCAGAGTCAATGTCAAACCAGGACACCCTGAGGTTATTTGGGGATCCAAGAGCAACAATGAAGACTCCAGATCTCCTGTCCCAGCTGAGGGGACTTTGCCATCTGAATCTCTGGTCTCAGGACAGACTTCAGTTGGACCTGTCTGTTCTTGGAAGTAGGCCCATCAAGACACCAGTGGTTGTTCTTAAAAGTTAACTCTTCTGAAACATTGTTCTGTTGCTTAAAAAAAAACATGTATGAAAGCTCTGTTACTAGAAGAACAGGCGATTGCTGGCTGACCCCTTGGTAAGGAAAGACAGAGGACGGCGAGCCAGCTTGCTGAGGAGAGCCTGGCCCGGACAGAAGCTGAGCAGCTGCACTGACCGCGAGGACCCGGCTGCCAGGATTCCCACCTCCACCTTCAGCTTCCCAGGTTTCTGTTAAACCTGAGTCATTATGACCCACCCCAAAATGGGAATTTGAAAAACAGAAAATCCAGATATATAACCAATTGTCTATGGAAATTTCACAAAAAATAAGGCAGCATATCCAGTCAGTGGGGAA